CCCCCCGCGGCAGCCGTTCCCTGCCGCCCCCGGGACCCCGGGGGTCTCGGCCTGCGCGGCTGTCGGCGGGCGTTCGTCGGGAGACCTCATCGTCCGTGATGAGCCGCTGTCAAAAGGCCGAATCCTCTCTTACTCCTTTTGCAGAGCTCTCCTTTTCAGTCGTGAGCGTTATTGTTGCCTTGTAATAATTCAAATAAAAAACATCTTTCACGTCAGCCCAGGCAAACTTCTTTTCACATGCTGGTGCTTGTGGATCCCACACTCCAAGGCCTTTTTAACCGTGTTATCTAAAATAGTTCAGGATTATGCACTAGACATTTCAATCTTGCCTTTTTTTTGTTTCTTGGAGCAAATTTTAGCACTCCAGAATCGGAGAAACCCAAAAACCCTTCGTCCAGAGCTAAAAGCGTAGATGCTTATATTTCTATCAGGCGTGCATATTTTTTTAATATGTTTCTGCTTAGAATACTCTTAATGGAAAGAAAATGAGTCCTATGTTTTGATTATTTTATTTCATGAATAATGATAGCATTGCACCTGCAAGTTTCCCATACATTGTAAGCGAGCAGGTATGCGATAAGTCTTTCCAAAGGGTCTTAGTGTAATTATTCTTGCAGGTGTTTGGTGGGTTTTTTTTTTAGAGCAATTAAGGCTGTGAAGCATTTCTTTTTGTGGACTGTTAGACTGAGCAATACCCACACTCTTCTGGGCTGCCGCCTTTTGTTCCTCTCTGTACTGGCACAACTGTTTTAGTAGTGGTATGTTGAACTTGGCTGGGAGTTGATCTGGCTGAAAAAGTCGTCTCTCAATAAAAGGGTGGTTTTCCATCTGGATGAGTTCTCTGATGAATTTCATGTTAAAATGTCTGCAACATGAACAGTTGCAGGGACACAGAGCAGGGACTTCAGAAGGGTCAAAAACCAGCTGGGTGGTCTCTGTGTAGGCAGAAGCAGCTCTTCTGCCAAACGTGAAACAGCCTGGGTTCTAGAGGTTGTATTTCCCCCTTCCCCCCCCCTTTTTTTTTCCTTCTCCTTTCCCTGAAGCTGTGATTTCCTAACCAAGATGAATGCACACTTACAGATGTGCGTAGTTAACCTTTCTGCTCCACTGCTCAGAGCAGTCCTTGGTTTGCTTGAACTGGAAGAAGACGCATAAGAGAAACACATTTGGATTGAAACAATGAGAAACAATGATATTTTACCCAAAATATTTCTAAATGGTAAAAGTACAGAATTAAGACTTTCTTGTTTAGGTAGGAAATGTGTTTTAAGGACTGTTTGTAGCAGCACTCCTGTAACTGAGGTACTGGCTCTGGCAACTATGCGCTGCTGTGCTGCTCCGTTCCCTGTTTATTCACTGGCCTTTCGTACAGCAGCTGCAGTAATTACGGGTGTGCTTGCACACTGTGACATAATAACAGTCAATTGTAACTCGAGAGAAAGCATGTTGAAATAACTATTCATTTTCATTTCCTCTCTTTTTCTCCTTAGGTAATTCTAGAAGCTATGGACATACTCTTTAGAATAAGAGGAGGCTTGGATCTTGCATTTCAGCTAGCAACTACTGATGGTGTGTCTATAAGACTATAATAGATTTCTTAATAAAAGGTTATTTATATAAATGTTAATTAACTAGCTATGGTGTTTGTTTTCTTGGCGTTTCACCAGATGTTAAGTGCGTCTTCCCAAACCTGTAAATATTAAGTACAAAAAATGTTATTCTTATCTCCATTAATTTTCTGACAGTCTTTTTCCATCATGTGTTTTTTATTTTAATTTGAAGTAAAGTTTAAATGCCATTTTTAGATTGTTTTATTCACATATTTTTCCTACTTATGGATATGGTATTGGGATCACTTTTCAGTTTGAATCCAAAGTTGACCCTGAAATTCCAAACAGAGAATAACTTGATGAAAATGAATTCCTTATAACAGTATTATATTAATAATACAGTTTTGAGATTATGGTCCAGTCTTTCTAGAGAATTAGAGGAAATGAACAAGCTAACTAGTTACTATACTGAATTTAGGTGGGATTGGCTACTGCAATTCTGTGTGGAATTGGGGCTAGACCATATGGTGTTAAGAGGCTCCTCTAGTCCCACGTTCTTATAGTAATGTGACTTTCACTTCAGAAAGTCTGCTCAAAAGCTGCCCGTGGCTATTGAGTATCATAGGGGGGAGTGGGGAAGGAGGGTGTCTTTAACTCAGCTGTAGCTCATTCTGCATTTTAAAAGGATGTGTCTTTACTAGAAGCTCTGAATTCAGTGCTAGTGAACCTTGGAAAGGCGCTTTGGCTCATTACAGTTCATGATGTGGAATAGCAGTTTTGAATAGGTTGGCCTTATGCATAGCGACTTTTTGTGAATTGCATCCTTAAAGGAAGGCTATTTATTTGACTTTGTTTACAGTGTAGTGAATTTTAACCACAGTGAAGCAGTGATGCTGAGATTGTCCAAGTGCAGCATAATATTCTACAGAGAAATAGTTAGTATGTGAATATGGCAGACCACTCTTTTGAAGGCAGTGAGGTTTTTCTTTTGGAGGAGATCTAGCTAAATATGTTGGGGTTTGTTTAATTTTTCTAGTACTGTAGCTTTTATAGACTTCTAGTGCAAAAGTCAACTAATAGTGGCCAAATCTAATTTAATGTGTTAAAGAAATACAGTTTGGCATGGTCTTTGATAGCTTGTTAGGCTTTGTATAGCTTGTTGCATTCTAAGTAATGGTTGTTAACCTCCTTGGTGAGGAAAGCAATGCTGGAAATGTGCAAAAGTTGCTCTGTCATATCCAGTATTGGTTCAGGTTGTAAGGAGTGGGTGAAACTTAAAAAGACAAGTCAAGCCCTGAAAGATGGACCTCTATACCAGTAATAATGATTCAGGCTGACCAGGGTGTGGCTTACAGTTGCAGGTGTACATTGGCCAAAATTTGGTCTGCAGCTAGACTGTAGGCCCTGCTTTTCCAAAAAATTAGTACGTTTTTGGTTTGTATTTCTGGATAATGATATGAAGTCAGAAACATGTGACTCAGATTGAATCTTTCCAGTATTTACTCAAAAGACTAAGCATAACCATATGTAGAAGTTTGTCTGTACACAGAAGCTTGTTTGCAACTGTAGGCTTGGTTAAGTTACTGCTGTGAGAATTGACTATGGTATAGGTTATTCTTCTGTAATTCATTCAGCTCTTTGTATTTGACAGCATCTGAGAGAAACAATACACTTTTGTTCAGGCAGGTGTGAGTGTGAATGTTTGAGACAGACCTGCTAAGTGAAATCTTATCTCATTTTTTGTTTACGTGGCCATTTTTCTGATCATAACAGCACTTATGTTTTTATTCCAAGTCAAAACATATCTTTTTTTAAAATGTATGCCCAGCAGCTGTAACAAAAGTGACGGAATTCTCTAGGCTTATTGTGTTTGTTTTGTATCCTTATTGTGTTTCAGAAGCATCAACAAAAAAGGCATTAGGATATGTTTTCAGTGATCTTGCAAACAAACTGTCCTCAGATGTTCTTGTATTAAGAATTTGCCACAGTTCAGTCTATGTATGGCCTAACAACGGTATGAACACTGTTCCAGAGCTGACTGATGATTCTGCTTGTAAGGAGATAAGACGATTTATACAGTGAGTATATTTAAAAATATATAATGTTTTTAATAGATTAACTTCATATTACAGAAACTTCTCTTTCTGTTGACACTTCAGATTTGATCAAGATGATGAGACCAAACGAAAGCTTGGCAAAAAAAAGGATAAAAAGTTACAAGATACGGTATGTGCCTCACCACACTAATAAATTATATCAGACAACCTATCACTTAAAAATTTTTAGATCTGCCCTCTGTAGGCTTTTCAAATAGACATTGACATGACTTAAAAGAATCCTTTTAAAGTCACTGAGACTCGGTATGAATGCAGAGATCCATTTGCAGTAGATCAGCGCATAAAAGTTTGTCTTTAACATTACTAGCTTCTTGTAAACCCAGCTATTTCATTACTGAGTTTGATATGAAATATCTACAATCTTACTTTTGCCTTCTTGGTGCATGTGTTGTTGGAAATGTACTATTGGTGCCTGTATTCTCTGCAGCAGCAGATAGTCAATATAGACCTCATGTTGGAAATGACATCTTCATTGGCTGCTTTGGCTCCAGTCATTGAAAGGGAAAATAAGGAACACCACTACGTTAATATGACGTTACCAGTTGATGTTGTTGTATCTGTTTCTCCAGAAGAAACGTGGGGACAGTAAGTGTTATCCTGAACTTGGAATTTTTCAGCTTTAGTTCTGCTTTTTCTTGAAATAATGAAGTAAAGCTATGATATCATATATCATTAATCAGTTTAATGAAGTAGCATATGGTATTTCTGTAATGGAATTTAACTGTGTAAATAATAAAAGCTCCTGTAGACAGCTGTTACCTTTAATAAGCTTGAGACACAATCCTTCTGCTATCTACAAAAAATTCAGTTTATCAATGTCTGATAGATTTGATAACTCGTAACCGTTGCTTAGCCAGGAATTGAGAAAGTCAGGAAGATGTTCTAAAAATTCTTGTATGTACATGCGTGTGTATAAAAGTGAGAGCTGGAGTGTATTTGATGAGTCTTTGTAATCTGAGTACTACATGAGGGGCTGCAGCTGGGTGGGTGCAGGCGAAAAACATTAAAGTCCTCCTCTATTTTTTCGTTGCATTTTTTCCATAGGATTTGACTCTGAAGGATGCTAAATGGGGTGGATAGAAATGAAAAAAAAAAAACCCTATATATTCATATATGTAACTTTTATTTTGGCAAGTGCTCATAATGGTTGTATTTCTGATACGAGTCCAGGGTACCTGCAGTTTGGAGGGTTGAATCGCTCGGGAGTAGCTTCTGTATGCAGGCATGCTTTGAGTAAAGCATAATGAGGTTCTGTCTTTCTCTGTGGGAGTGGAAGCATGGAAGTAGTAAGTTCATCAGACCAGGTGCAAATATGCATATAAGTATTGTATAACTATCAGAGCTATGAGAGAAAATAATCCACTGTCACCGTTCTACTTCTTAATTATTCTCCCTTTTACTTTGCAGGGTACAAAATCTCCTGGTGAAAGCAATTCACAGGCAATTAACTGACATGGAAAGATGTATCATGAAATACGTGAAGGGAACATCAATTGTTGTACCAGAGCAATTTCATTTCATGTTACCAGGAAAAAATCATCTTGTAACAATCTCGTATCCTACAGGTATTTCAGATGATCAGTTGGAAAGTTACAGAAAGGTAAAGCCAACCAATACTAATAGAACCTGATTATCTCGTATCCTACAGGTATTTCAGATGATCAGTTGGAAAGTTACAGAAAGGTAAAGCCAACCAATACTAATAGAACCTGATTTCTTAAGTATATTATTATTATTATTATTATTATTTTTATTACTGAAGTAGTGGCAAAGCTTTTCATTTAGCCAACGTAGAATACATACGAACAGATACTGCTCTTTCTTTAGTTTATTTTTATTATAACTGAAGCAGTATAGTGAACGTGGAAGCTTGATTTATTAGAAGCAATTCTATAAAATGTATCAGATCTCATTTTTGTAAGGGAACAATAGAAACTTTAAAACTACATAGGATTTGTCTTAGGTTTTATCTAAATTATACTTCTGGTACTGTATTCTTTGAATTTCTCCATTTCCATCGTAGAATATCAGATTACTTGTAGCATGTTATTACTTTCAGGCTTTAGCATGTGTCCTGAAAGGGTCAGGGTTGGGTTTTTTTTTGTTTGGTTTGGTTTCTTGGGGTTGTGCGTTGTTGGGTTTTTTGTTTGGTTTGGGGGGGAGGCTGCTTTTTGTGGCTCAGAGCTGACCAGCCTTAGCTAGCTTTTGCTTGTTTTTTGCCTTCTGGGTTGGCACATGTAGTAAAAGCAATATGGATGCGGTGGAAAAATGTTCTGATGTGGCAGTCCTTTTGGATTGAGACGCGTACCTGGGAGATACCAGTTCAGATCACACAGTTACACGTACCGAGAGTTACACGTGCTCTTCTGCTGCCTTAGAGGGGTAGAAGGCATGGGGATTTTTCATTTTCGTCTTCTGTGTGAAGCATTACTGGGTATCTAAAACCCAATCTATTTTGATACAAAAATTCACAGATGCTGCTTCTCCCAGTCCGAGTCTCCCCGAGGGGGAAACGGAATATTCAGAGTCCCTGAAATAAAACTCAAGAGCAACAAAGTTACTATTAAGCAGGTATCCTTTATTGCAGCTCTGGGGAATCTCCACCATAAGTGCTCCAACGAGTTAATGAACTTCTGGAGAATGTATATTATACAGTCATACATATTCATAGGATTTCTGGGAATTCATTTACATAAACATGAGATTTCCAGGGACTTATTAACATATGTAAATATCCGATCCGCATGCGCAGTCATCTCCCGTGGTGGTCTTCATGTGGTCTTTGGGGGTCTTCAGATGAAGGCTCGTAGTAATCTTCACTGCGTTCGCCGATTGACCCTCGCTTCTGCGCAAACTCAGTCCTAGGATCGCGTAAACGGTGTCCTTCAATGTTGCTGTCATTCTTCTGTGACTTCCTATCTTCATGGTTCTGTGTGTCTGTTCTCCCAAGGCCGAGTTGTCTGTAACGAGATTATCCCGGAGCCCCCCGTATCTTAGAGCTGTTCTTCTAGCTACTCCCTAAATCACATCAGACCGTCCTCTTGTCTAATAAGGTATTCACAACATCCTTAAATCACAACAGGATGTCGTCTTATCTAATTGAGTAACTAAGGTATTACATCTTTCTTACTCTTGTGGGTTTTAACCCTTTCAATTCCTTGCATTTGCAGAGGCCTCAGGCACGGGTGGCACATGAGTCTGTCCTGCTCTCTGACTGCTCTTCGCTTTTATCCACCGATTGCTCAGTGTTACTGTAGCTAATGTAGTTGGGTTCAGTGTTAGGCTATCTGTGTAAAATGTATTACCTGTGTTGCACACGTTATCCTAGATGATCTCGTCCTTCCTTTCACTCTTAAGCTCTGTGAAATAAGACAATATATCTCTAAATGCGGTTGCTGTGTTGTAAGCAGTGCTTAAAAGATACAAAAATGGACTGAATCTGTTTAAACCATAAGCTTGGTATCTTTACTTTGTCTCAGTATGTGGTATTTGTATGTCTTCAGTATTAGTTAAGATCATAATTCAGAGTGTGTATATCTACGCTGCTACATAGGTAGAACTGTAACCCTCTTCTGTTATGGTGTATTTTACCCTACTTTCATGAGACACTTGTCACTTATGATATCCTCAGTGGGGCTCCAGCGGCAGGTGTTGTGTAACAGGACTGCGTAAAATAGGGGGCCCTTTAGATAGGAGGTGAGCTTCCTTTGAGAGGTGAGATCTAGCAGCAAACATACCTGCTGAATATTAATATATTAAAATCTGATTAATTAAACTTACTGAACTCTGCTCTTAAAATTTTTCATGTGTCTGTTGTTACTTATAGTGTGGTGTTTCTCTTAATCCAAAATTTGAATTGCGGTCTTTATTTTTATTCTAACTTGTATGTAGGAATTACATGAGTTATTCAATCTGCCTTGTGACAGACCATATTTCAAGAGAGCAAATGCTTATCGTTTTCCAGATGAACCATATAAAGATGGATACCTCAGAAATCCACATTTACATCTTAATTCACCTGGTACAGAGTCTGGTACGGTAAGTTTAAACTGAAACATTTGTAAGAAGTATTTTTTACTTTTCTTTAGATTTGCTGTTTAAAAAAAAAAGTAATTTAGACGGTCAGTATTGTATAGGTGAGAGAAAGTGAAGGAACAGACTTGGCCTTTTAAGCAAAAGGGCTTCTTTGCACAACATGGCATTGCTTTAGCTATGTTTGTCCCAAAGAAATCGCGTTTTCTTGGAAAAGAATGTACACACTTCTAGCATGTACTTTAAAAGTTTCTCAGAACCAGGGCAAGAAACTAAAACTGTGAACAGAGGCGTTTAGGAGACAAAAACAGGAGGAGCAATCGTGTATGAATAACAAACCTTCAATTCTTCCAAAGATTTGCAGTCCCCGACCGAAAGCTTTTACAGTGCAAGTGACATAGGCATACCACTTCTCTGAAAACTGATGCGAGTGTGATCAGATTCATTTGTATTATCTCTTTCTGTGCAGGTTTACTTAGTACATGGTGTATATAGTTATCACCACTATATGCAGGATCGGTTTGATGACAGTGGTTGGGGCTGTGCCTATCGGTCTTTGCAGACAATCTGTTCTTGGTTCAAGCACCAAGGTTACATTGATGCACCTATACCAACACACAAGGAAATTCAACAGGTACCAAACATTTAAGCAGATTAATTATTTTATGCATATTTGTCTAGAAAAGTTTATCTAGATTATTTTTAAAATATCAAATTAATATATTTTAGACTTCAGATTTCTGTGATATTTCTAATTTATCTCTTAAATTGAGCTATAGTCGTTCTGAATTATTATTTTTAACAAGTTTTATTACAGTAGATCTGTCTCCAAATGTTTCAGTGTCGGGTGACATTATCTGTACAAATAAGACTCATTAAAATAGTCTTCTAAATATTTCCTTGGACTGATGTTCTATTAGAAGCTCAGGTTATGACATTTTCCGTTTTTGCCAAATGAAAGAAAACAAAGAACCCAGTGTGTCATATTAAAATCAGTTTTAAAAACGACTTTTGTATTCAGTGACAGCTGGGTTAGTCCCCAGATGCTATGCATTGATTTACTGCTTGCTTTTGCTACTTTGCCTTTGAGAGTAGGGGGCTTTTCCTGGCTTTTGAACTCTCCTTCACTTCTTTTTCTGTTGTGAATTCAAATGCATACCTGAACATGTTCGTTTCTGTGAACAGCACTGAAGGAAGACTGTAGGCTCGGGTAGCTAATATTGTATGCCTAGCAAGAAATACTGCAATGATCTTCAGTCTTCTAAAAATAGTTTTGTGTTGTATTTATTTACTGAACGTTTTTAGCAAAGTTCGATTCAGTCCATAAAACAACTTTTATCATACCTAAAAGGGACGTGAGCACTGAAGTTAAAACTGCATTTCCTGAACATTTCTCAGTCCACACCTAAACCTAACAGCAACTGAAGTCCGTGCGCTCCTGTAGTGTTTTGAGACACCTAGAAGAGGGCAGTAGCCTTCAGGAGACTTTGTGGGCTTTGTATCCTGAGCGGAAAAGGCCCCCCTCAAGCACTGCATGTAACGTATAAGCCTCAGAATGGAGAAGAGTTTAAAATAAAGCACAGCCCTCAGTGTATTTCAGCGGCCTCTTCCTCAGAGCACTGTTTTATGGATCCTTTTCTGAGATGCTTTGGATGGGGATGCAGGTACTTCAGTCTGTGAAGTGGATTCTGCAGCGCAAACGATGCGCTCCAGTGCTAGACAGCTCGGTGCTCGCCATCCCAGCTTGAAGTCCGCCTGTGGACCTGGGGTTATATTCTGGGCTTACAGGCACTGTCGGTATGAGTGACAGTTCCCAAACAGAACCGCAGTGAATGAATTCAATACCCATTTGCCTGCTTTTGACCAGCTAGGGTCAAAACACATTCCCATATATATACAAACCAACTTTGTTCACAGAAAGTGGTAGAATTGCCTGCTAAGCGTTGTTGATGTTTGTTTTTCTTCTTCATCATGATGTTACAAAGGCACTGGTTGATGCTGGAGACAAACCTGCAGCGTTTGTTGGGTCACGGCAGTGGATTGGTTCAATTGAGGTACAGCTTGTTTTGAATCAGCTTTTTGGAATAACATCAAAAATACTATTTGTCAGGTAAGAATCATATCTGTTTAATAGCTCAGTAATTATTAAAAGACTGAATGCCATAAAATGCAAATTATGATTACAATACATGAGATAATAGGGATAATAAAAGAGGTAATAAATCTTTTAAGAGTTCCTTGTTCATAAACCCTGTATTCCTGCCTCTGGGTCTGCTGCGGTAAGTGCTTACAAATGAAGATATTGCTAAACTTCTTGTGGGCTCGGGGTTCCAGTTTACAGTTGCTATAAATTGCTTAAAGACATGCAAACTGGTGTGGAATTCAGCCTGTTCCTTTGCACCACAAACATAATTTTTGAGGCAGGCACGCGGTCCGGCAGTCATCATGACCTGAACGCACACTAACAGTAAATGATTACTTCGTCCGCGGAGCGGACATTCAGGATTGAGGCAAATTGCTGAGCAGCCTGGAAATACTGTTCTCTTTTCTGGATTTGTGTGACAGATAAAACAAGGGATTTGTTTCCATTCTGACATTCTCATACACAATGAAGATTCCTAGAAATATGTTTGGGAGAAAAAGAATAACGTTCAGCATTTATCAGAAGTAAAATTACTTGGATTTTTGCCATTTAGGCAGCACTAAGCAGACTAACAAATCCCTGAATGTTTTGTGATAAATACAATAATGAAATAAAGAATATAGACTAATTTAGCAGTATGAAAATTCTAGTCAAGTAAAATACTACTCATGAGTTATGTTTATTTAGACTAAATTCTACTGTGGATATTCTAAAAGAGCGTGTGATGTTGGTGATTCTTAACAGTAGGAAAATAGTTCAGGTCTTCAATATTTTGTAGAGCTTTGTACAGCCAATTTTAATGGTTTTTGTTCCAGAGCTTATATTTGCAGACGGTCCACCTGTTATTTATAGCAGCTGTGACAGGCCGTGCCAGTATGAAGGTTTTTATTCCTGCACATAAGAATATCATATAGATTCCTTTGTGAACTGGGTTGAATCGCTCATAGTGCTGCTACAAGGGAACACCAATGTTCTTCAGGATTATGAAAAGCCAGCATCGCTGCCACGCTGAGAAGTGTCATGCATCTTTTTCAGCTGGTCACTGGCAGTGGATAGCATTTTTGTTGGGGGCTTATTTCCAGCTAGCACCTCTAACTCTTCATAGAAATAAGACTTCACAGCTGCACCAGCAACACTAGTACTGAATCCATTATAGTAAATGCAGCATTTCCCAGAGTTCCAGTTTCGTATGCTGTCTGCATTTCATCCATCTCTCCAGGAACTTGAGAAGCAGGCCCACAGGCTTTCTTTGGGTTTTCAAAAGGTTAACCACTATATGGAGAAATCTAAAGATAAGATATTAAAAATATCTGTATTAATTTCCTTGCCTAGCTTCTGTCACCACTTTTGGGAGTACTGTCGGTTTTCTAAGGGGAGTATGAGTCTCCGTCAGACACGTCTTCAGCTCCGAATCCTGGAGCGCGTGCATGTATTGTGTGTGCGCACCTTTCTCTTCCACGTAGACTTCTCTTGTCTGTGGCTGGTCCCCATAGTTGAAAAGGAAAGCGGGGAGATTGTAACAAAACTAAGTTCAGTGTTGCTTTGGACAGATTACTAATGTTATTTGAGATTTGATATTTTTTTTAAACCCAACTTGGTTATAAGTACTGCAATTGCTTGTGCAATTACAGTGGAAACCTATCTTAAGAGGCGTCATTATAAACACCTTTATCAACACCTTATTTTTGTTACATTTCTGATGAAGGTCTGTTACTTCGGACTCCCCCTTGCTGACAGATGTAGCCAGCCTGTGTTTCAGCCACTTGGAGGGAGCCACTGGGGCTTACCAGCTGTCCCCACTGTGGGAGGCAAGCAGCAGACGTGTTACAGAAGCTGGCTGACTCCCGGTGCTCCAGTGGCAGCTGGGCTTGCGGCAGGTTCATTGGTCCAAGCAGAATCTCTAAGTTGCATTAAAAATTTGTTTCCCAATTGTCCCAGGATGTTTACACAGAAAAACTCCAAGCCACTTTCAAACCAGTTACCTGTGCAGTTAACCAGTATAATGGATAATTAGAGAATTAAGCCTAGTGAGGATGACAAATCGATTGTTGTTTTTCTTACCTAGCCAGGGTTCTGAACTAGCGTTGCAGGGAAGAGAGCTTGCTAATCATTTCAAGACTGAAGGAACTCCAGTTATGATTGGTAAGTGCTCGAGTATGGGAGAATGCCAATGAAAGTGTGTGGACTCCCTATGCTAAATTTCATTCGGTTAGAACTCATTCAGTTTACTGTACAAGAGTTAATCAAAACTCTAGGTGAATTAAAAATCATGCTTTTCCCAAGGGAGCCTGGAAAACGGTACAGTTTAGTCTGGCTGGTATCTTTTCACTCAGTATTTCTCCCAGGCTCAGTATTAAACCTGGTAACAAAAGTCAATCCTAACAGTGTTCTTAAAAACTGCTGTTAAACTCAGAACTCAAGAGCTGACTTCTGCTCTCTAGAGGAGCAGAGGTTCATACAGTTCCCCAAAACTTCCCATCACAGAAGAGCAGTGTTTATCTGGCTTTGAAAAGGTTATTATCCAAATTCTTTTTAAGACCAGTTTTAATAAGCTGAAATGTTGGTAACATAAGAAATGTCATTCATAAGAACGCCATAACTTTAATTGAGTTATTTCCAAGACAGCTGCGGTTTAGAAAATGAAGAATATTGAAAATACCATTTTCAGCTTTAATAAAATCTTAATTTTAGCAATTTTCGCAATCTGCATTTGGCACTCCATAAAGATAGTGTCACTTTCTCAAATTAGAGGTGCCAGAAGTCCAGATTTTGGTATGAAATATTCTTGGCCTTTCAGCATCCTTTTTGTCTGCATTTCAAGAATTTAGAATCCTATGTTGAAAAATCTTTTAGTCTGTGACTTATCCTTCCCTGTAATGCTCTCTTGTGGATTGGTTTAATTTTTGTTGTTGTTGTTGTTGGGGGGGGCAGAGGTTGGCTTTTTGGGGTGGGTTTTAGGTTTGGGTGGGGTTTTTTTTGCTTGTGTTCTTTTGGGATTTTTGCAATTCCTGTCTGTTGTGCGGAGTCATTACAGCAGTATCCCAAGGACGTAAACTCCTCATGCTATCTGAAAGAAACATGCAGGAGTCGACCTGTGGCCAGCACATCAAAGTATGCCCTTTCCCTGTTTGCAGCCTAGAGAAAAGGGAGTCAGCAATCGCTATTCTGCCCCTAATATCCATTGATGGAACTTAGTAGAAAACAGCAAATAACCCTTATCCAGAAATTCTGATTTCTGTTCCAATTTTAGTCCTTTTACAACCGGCAAGTTTTCCAGATTCCTTTTCTACAGTTAAGTTTCTTAAAGAAAAAGTGAGCAAAACAGATGTTTGAAATATTCTTGACTTCATCGGGTGGAAGTGCTGAGGATTCAACCTGCCTTGCTGTCAGGGAAGAAATTTCGAAAGTAAATTCTCTAGTTGTAGTAAGTGAAGTAAAATAAGTAACCTTCCCTAGTTGTAGTAGAGATACGTTCTTTAATAATCTGAAGAATTTTATGTAGGACAGCTTCAGAATCATTTTGATAACCAAGCTAATCGGTTAATAGAAAGTGTTGATGTACTTTTATTTTAGGCTTGCACATTTATCCAATCTCAGTGAAAAATTTTTAGCAATTTCTGTTCCTCCTGTTTTAGGTGGAGGTGTTCTGGCTCACACGATATTAGGAGTGGCTTGGAATGAGATTACAGGGCACATAAAATATTTGATTTTAGACCCGCATTACACTGGAGGAGAAGATCTGCATGTTATTTTGGAAAAGGTGAGGCTTGATGCATATGCACATATATATACACACACGTATGTATTATGTACATATATTTTGGCATTATACAAATAACGTACAGCCAAATACAAACTGGCCGTTCCGTGGCTCCTCCATTCTGTATGGAGGAAGTGCTGATCCCGGTTAACCTGCATGTATGCTACTTATTCTTAGTTTCTGAAACTTAGTGTCTTTGGAGCAGATGTATTGGGTCAGCAACTACATAAAGTTATTAAGAGTACAAAGAAATGTTCTTTACTTCCTCTGCATTAAACCACCTCCCCTTTTACCCAGTAGTATATACAATAAATGTGTTTGGTATTTTGAATGGAACAGAAAAAGCTATTCAGCCTGTAAAATGCTGTTACTGAAGCAGAGAAGATAACCATTTATTCAAAATTTTTTAAAAAATCCAACACTAGGCATTCTCAAATCAGGCCTTGAACTAAGGTTAAAGGGCAGGTACTGAGCTGTTTTGAAAATCTGGGAAAACTCTAAAGAACTAGAAGGTATGCAATATTATTTCCTTATTTAAAGCTACTAAAAGGGATGACATAGCATTTTACAAAACAGTAAACATAGTGTCAGAAACTTAAACTGTGAAAGTGGTTAAATCATCCTATAAGTGTTAAGTAATCAGTTTCTCTTCTGTTCTTCATATCAAGTTGCAAATAGCAACTTTTATTTCATATCTTTATTTAACACCCTTGGGTTGGACCCAACTAGGAAAGCTGTTGAAGAAACATTTTGCTAGCCCCATAATGATCAAAGTTTGAAGTGAATACAGAAAGAAGCAATTTCCAAAGAACGTGTAGAACCAAAGGCTGTTACAGCTCCAAGGTGTTCAGGAGGATAAAATACATGCAGAAGCCCCTTTTCTCATCAAAAGTGGCAGGGGAGGGGAGGAAAGGAACTGAGGTGGACTGTAAGTTTGTCGCTCTTTTCTTCAAAAACACCTCATATAATTATGTGGTACTCTGCAAACTTAAGAGCTTCGTTAGACTGTTTTTCTGCTAGATGATGACGAACAGCACACCTTCTGATGTGAAGAGCTCTGTTTGGCTTTGAAATATCAGCCATTACCAAGGCAGGCAAGGGTTCTTCAAGACGAGAGAAATGGCAACGGTGAGAAGTGCAGAGCTTCAGGATAATATTAGTCTGTCTGTAGCAGCAGAAGGTAGTGGGACGGGGGGGGAAGAAAGAGATGCTACTTTTCAGGAACTGAGCTGGGGTGGGGAGGGAGGAGGGGGGAGAGACTGTAAAGTGCTTTCCGTCAATGTGTTTCCAGGCAGGTGAAGAACTTTCTGAAAATTGTGTGTCATTGCATTCTACAGATATTTCAAAAGAATTCATACAGCTTAGATTAAAATTAGTAAAATAAAATAGAACCAATAGTAGTAGATAAGAAAAACAGAATTTGTGGTAGAGTTAAACACTATCTTGCTTTTCCTGGACAGGGCTGGTGTGGATGGAAGGGCCCAGACTTTTGGAACAAGGACGCCTATTATAATCTGTGTCTACCTCAACGACCAAAAACTATTTAAATTCCAAGTTTATGCTGGGATATGCTAAGCCAGAATACGAGCTGATCTAGATATAACTGTCTTGTTAATTATCAGAATAATGCTTTAAGTCAATCAAAACCCTGTTGAAATAGAAATGTTGCTTGAGTAATTTAAATTAAGAAATATTTTTTTTAAATGAAACCTAAAAATAAGAGTTATCTGCTGTGAAGTGTATTTCTTACAAATACATTTATTAAGTAACTAATACTCTTTTCTTTTGGCTAGGACAACTTTATGTTTATATAGCATTTTTTATTATGCTAAAATCTTTACAGATTTTATTTTATGGAATTTTTTCTTGCCAAAAAGATGAACTGTCCTCTACCTTTTAGGTTCCATATAGCCAGCTGTCTTGTGCACTATGAATCTGTTCAAAGGCATCGTTTGCTACTGGTACTGTTGGTAACAGCATTCTAGAAGAGGAATGGGAGAAAAATGGCTATATGTAGTGGATTTTATGAACTTTGTTCTCATATTTACACAGAAAAAATGTGAGAGAATTAATTGTTATATGCTCATTTATTTATAGCTGTATGAATACAACTATTCTAGGAAAAAAAAAAAAGTCTTCTGTAAGAAGTAAAAATAAACGAGCTTTCCTCCTTCTCAGAAGGAGACAATGTACCAGCGTACATCTGGCTGCTCAATGGACAGTCCAGTCATGTTTCTTCAGGCTTCGGCTTCCCCTTGATTTCATTTTGGGATTACAAGACATCTGTCATATGAACAAACAAGAATAAGTCTGTATCTAATGCCATCAAAACATTAGGATACACCTGCGGTGCTAGTAACAATGCTGTCTTTGTGAGCTACTCCATCAGTACAAGTACCGACCATTTCGGTTTTTATTTCCCCCATGTTAAAGTAGCTTTTTCAGTGGCATTCCTCATACACTATCCACTTTTTTTATAAGACCATAACCTTAAACACCTGTGCAAGTTGATCCTTACTAGCAGGCTTCTAAATCCAACTGCTACGTATCTAACACCAATTTACTTAAATGCCAAAAGCATTAAAAAAAATGAAAAATATTGTATTGTAGTAAGCCAAGGGTATTACACACCATCTGATCTTCTCCTCTTCCTGCTTATGGATCTGCTGGTTTCACTTTCTTGTTTCTGTGCAGCTGGATCCTCTCTCAGCAAGCCCCGTTTGTCGCTTAGCGAGTAGCCAGACCCTCCTCTCAGTTTCATTGTCTGAGTGTGCTGAATTGTCGTGAGGAACTTGGCACATTCCAGAAAGCCATAAGCTAGCGCCAGGTCCGCTGCTGTTTGTCCACTGTTGTTGCACAAGCTGAAACACAGAATTAACAACAACCATTCAATTAAATTGGAATATATATTATGGGTGAGCACTGGTCAAGATTAGTTTAATGGTAACTTTAGACAGAATTACAGAGAATCAATACCAAGAAGGCTTGTCAAGGGTAGCATGGGAATCCGCTGATACAGAAGGCTGGTATTAAATGCAGCAAGGAATAATTATTTTAAAATAAAATCGTCACCGGACTGTGACTGGCTTAGTGTATCAGAAAGGCAAGAGGAAGGTGAGCACAGCTTTAATCAGAATGGGAATCTAACAAGGAGAACTTACAGTCAGGAACGTTCTCTTAGCAGTTACTACGGAGGTCTTTAACATGGAAGTAAACAACAGCATATGCTCTATGCTACTTTGGTGTTTATGGCAGTTTTTAATACTCCTCTTAAGACTACAGTCATGCTGTATTTACAGTCTTAGCATGCGCACTCTGAGCAAGAAAAAGTACTGTGTAAAATACACGTATGCTTTGATACCGTTACTGAGGTGACTAAATGTCGTTCAACTTACTCAATTTTGGCATCGCCAGCAACAAGGAGAGCAAGACATTTCAAGCTCCCAACTTTTGCTGCTTTATGAATCGGGGCTTCTCCAAGGCAATCCTAAAAACACAATTTACACATAGCAGTCATTTGAAGGAAGGGGAATAGGATGAAGCCATCTTGTTCTCCAACATGACTGTGATGGAGTGTTACTCTGTGTACCAGCTTCTTGTGAGCTGAGAGAGAGATTAAAGGAATATAGCTAGCAAAGCGTACTCTGTGACTGCCATTGCATGTTTAGTGTATTCATCACGGCGAAGCAGAAATACTGTCCCATGCAATAGTCAGTGTTTAACCTTTACCTTCTAAAAGATTATTTACACAGAATACACTTTGTACACTGATTAACAGCATCTTTCAGCATCGTTCAGGGATTCCTGTGAGCAACAACTTGCTGCTACCAGCTCAGAGGTATAAGCAAATTAAACTTTGCAGCTAGAGGAAAAATCCTTATGTTTACTGGAAGTAGAGGTAAAATTGCAGGGGAAGAAGGAATACCCATTTCTGTAAGAGAACTAAGGGGTTTTTTTACATTGCATGCAGCACTGTAAGTGTAAAAATTGCATTATAGGTAGCAAATGAAATAGCTAATGCAATATATGATTTCTGGTTCATACTAGAATAAAGTTACTCTAAAATAAGCAACCCCAGATACCTCATGCAATACAACTGTGCACATAAAACCCCTCTTAAATAAAAAATATGTAAATAATATAAATTGGATTTACTGACATGCCAGATTAGAAGTGGGAGAAACAAAACAAACAACTGTATTTTTACCTGTTGGTTCAAATTCGCTCCTGTCTGCAGTTGCCAAAGTAGGAAAAAAGCTTCACCGCCACAAGCAGCCAAGTGAGCTGGAGACTGACCAAAGGCATCTGCAGGTGCGTTCACACCGGTTCCTGCCTCAAACAGATTGCTGAAACTACCAGACTAAAATAAACAAGATAGTAAAAAACTGTATCATAGCAGAAAACAACCCCCTCGCAAATCATCGGACCTTTATGTTCCATGAGACTGCCCTTTTACAAAAAAGCAATCCAAGCATGGCTTTTTTGGCTTTTAGTCTCTTAACCAGAAATGCTGACGGACATCGCCAGCGCCCCAAAATATCTAGCAGCAACTCCAGGCAAACTGCACTTCATACAGCCCCGTGGCTGGGCTCCCGGCACGACGGGAACAACAGACCCACCCTCCCCAGACCTCACCTCTGAAGTGCAATCCGGCACCAGCATCGCCTCCCTTTTGCTGAGCGCGCCTGGCTCTCACGGCTCCGGGGTGGCCGAGGCGGCGGCGCCC